TTTCAACTAGACAGCAAAACATGCTCCCGCGCTGAAATTTTGTCAGTGGGTTCCCTGGCCAAGTGCTGCCCCAGGACCGCGTTACAACCACCATGAATGTCTGAGTCCTGAGTACTAGAACGCAAAATTTTTAGCGGGGAAGTCGCTAACTCGGGAACCAGAAAAGTTGGGAGGCTGAAATTTTAAAGGGATGTTCCAGCCCACATACTACTCAAAGATTTCGCATTCAGGTGCCGGATGTGCGTGGTTCTCACGTGCGGTGCCATGAAAATTTTTGGCCGGAAAATGGCGAGCTCCGGAACCAGGAAAGCTGAGAGGCTGAAATTTTCAGGAAGGCCTCCAGAGATATGAGATGTTGCAACAATCCACTGCAAGAAATTAGAAGCTGGACTCAAAAAATCATAGGAACGATGGTATTACTTGGAAGAAGTTGAGAACTACGTCTATCTTGATCAGAATGTGAGCATGCGTCCAAATCTTCAACTGACTACTGTTATAAGGGCTACTTGTTGACGCAAATTTCACAGCATCACCGATGTTCTCCAAGCGTCGAGCCGAAAGAACCGTGCCGAACGCATTTGCACCATTGTGCTGAAGACAGTAATGTGCGGTTGCAAAACGTGGTTACTGACGAGCGGAAGCTGAACGAGCGGGCGATAGTTGTGAGAGGAAAGCGATGACCGGCAGCCATATAAACAATCAGATCCTCGTCAGATGAACGACACGGGTGACGTGCAGGATGTCGCTGCGGCCAAGTAAGAAAGTTAAATCCGATAGACAAGGCATTTTGCATGTTTTACCGACAATAGGTGGACGTCGCGCACTAGAAGTATTATCCATGAATAAGTAGACGACCAACTGGGTGAACCCCGAAAGGGTAACACACGTACCTCGAGTAGGCTATGGGTACTGAGTGGAGTAATGTAGTTCAAGATAAAAACATGATGCAGTTGCTTCTAGAGTGGGGGGCGGGAAAAGTGGAGAGGACGATGAAAGATTCTGGAATGCACCTGAGAAAACTAAGAAATTTGTTAATATAAAATTCAAAAAAAATTTGGAGCTCATTAATTTTTGCCATGCATACATTTCGAACTGTGAAAAATTTGGATTAGCAGTGCTAGTAATGCAGCAAAGAAACGAAGAGGACAGAGGAAACTCCCACTTTTGTTTAAATAGTGTATAAAATTTTTTTGGGTTTTACGGCAAAGCTAATAAATAATGAAATGCCATACTCTGTCCATGAAAATACTACAGAGCATTAATCTTTGTGCTAAAATATGCCAGAAACCCTTTTTTCCACAAAAAGTCTTGGCCATACAATTAAATGTAATAGAAAAAGGAAAAAACCTGACATATCAAAAAATTCAAAACTCTTAATTCGAATACATGAATTCCTGATTTTCGACAATTTAGCGGACAGAAATGTGTGGCAGAAGCAGAAGAATGTAATTTCCAAATAAAAAACATGTTTCGTGGAGGGGGAGGGGGAGTCGCTTAGAGAAGGAAGATATATCTTATGTAAACTGACTGCAGCTTTTAGGATAGCTGTCCAGTGTGCACTGGCCATAGGATTTTGGAATGTACCTGAAAAAACTGAGAAATTTGTTAATCTAAAATTCGAAAAGAATTTGGAGCTCACTATTTTTTGCCAACGCATAGGAGCAATAATGCAGCAATGAAGAAACGAAGAGGGCAGAGAGGAAACCCCCCCCCCTTTTTTTTTTTTAAATAGTGTTTAAAATTTCTTGGGTTTTACAGCAAAGCTAATAAATAGTGAAATACCATACTCTATCCATGAAAATACTACAGAGCACTCGCCTTTGTGCTAAAATATGCCAGAAACCTTTTTCCCATAAAAAGTTTGGACCACACAATTAAATGATAATAGAAAAAAAAGGAAAAACTTGAAACCTCAACGAATTCAAAACTTTTAATTCGAATACATGAATTCCTAATTTTCGACAACTTTGTAAACGGAAATGTGTGGCAGAAGCAGAATAAAACGGTCACAACAGAAGCAACGAAAGTCCCATTCAATTTCTTAATCTTAATCCGAAATAGCTTGATGCGAGATTAAATACAATAACCTATCAGTGCAAAGACGTTTTCACAGAGAAATTTTCATTTTTTCTTACGGTTCACTACTGCGTGCATTTTGTAAGGAATGGGTGAAAATAACCAAGACTGCTCGAATAACTGGAACGATAAACTAAATATATATTTACAGATAATTGCTGGTAGAAGCGAAGGAATAGAGGTTGACAGAAAAAGCGATGGGGCAGAAAGTACTTGGAGCGTTTTCGACCGTGGTCCTACGGGACGAAATACATTCCGTAAAGCGAGTGTTGTGCAAAACATCATGGAAAAAGCAAAAATCCATTAGGGAAGACAGGTTACCTGCTTCACCCGCAGCTGCTGGATAACACACGCATGCGATGTCCAACAGCTGTGGGTGAAGACTTTCAAGCAGTAGTGGATACCAGTAGCAAACAGAATATTGCTAGTCGCTTCTTTCAAGTGATAGCCAGTGCGCGTTTATTTAAGCAACAAGTATAAGCTGGGAATGTGCAGCTCAGGATGAAAGAGCCTTGCTTAGCTATAATCAGTGCTTGGCTGCATCTCAGCAGTACAAAAAACACAGCACTAACTGTTCTAACGATTTTAACGATTAGATAAATGAACGAATTCGAATATATAAATTTATGGATTTTTCCTATCTTTCGCAGG